TGTCCATTTGTCAGTGACCTCATGGATTTGTGCCATGTTTTGCTATGACCGCCCCAGCGTTTGTTTCAACTTACTCTTACACCGCAAAGTAGTAATTTGGATAGGAATTGTAATTGAAGTATCAGATAGCTGAAACTAAAGTCTATTATAAATATAAATATGAGGGTTGAACCTGAACTAGGCGCTGATGATGTTCTTCAGAAGAATAATGAAAGCTCCACCATTTAACTCAGTGGACGGAACTCTACCCTAATCATCCATTTAAACTACAAATCTTCTCCACCATCATAAAAAACACTGAAGATGATGAATATTTTATGATACGCGGAAAAAATCGATATATCATTATAATTTTTTTTAGATAGCAGAGTTAATGAAAACTCCGCCAGTAGAACCTTAGGGGCTACTGCCGGTCCCAAGCCCGGATAAAGGAGGAGGGTTGGACATGTGTTTGGCGGCCCCATTCCGTTGAAATCTAACTTGCCAAAAAAACGCTAACCAGAAAAAATAATTCAAACCATTTTAACTCTGCCCTGGGAGTTGGAAGAAGAATTATGACGTCTCGTGATGAAAGCCGAGTCCCCTCGGAAGTCACGGGGCCGATGCCTCTTCTGACAACCAGAGCAACCATTTTTTTAGGTACATGGAACGTTCGTACATTGTGGGAGACTGGAAGACTATTTCAAGTTGCGGCAGAAATGAAAAGATACAACCTCGAGGCGCTCGGCATCAGTGAAACACATTGGACACAGGTAGGACAACTGAGACTTGCTTCAGGGGAACTGCTGTTATACTCTGGTCATGAAGAGGAAAACGCTTCACATACACAAGGAGTTGCACTGATGCTGTCCAAACATGCACAAAAGGCACTGATAGGATGGGAATCTCATGGGCCGAGGATCATTAAAGCATCCTTCAAAACAAAGAAAGAGGACATTACAATGAACGTCATCCAATGTTATGCACCTACCAATTACTACAATGACGACGTTAAAGATCAATTCTACGAAAGGCTGCAGTCAATCGTCGATAAATGTTCACCAAAGGATTTGACGATTCTTATGGGAGACCTGAATGCCAAGGTTGGAATGGACAACACTGGATATGAAGACATCATGGGACGACATGGACTGGGAGAAAGGAACGAAAACAGTGAGAGATTTGCAAACCTATGTGCCTTCAACAAACTGGTCATCGGTGGCACAATATTCCCGCACAAACGCATACACAAAGCTACATGGATTTCACCGGACCACACTACTCAAAACCAGATTGACCATATCTGTATCAACAAAAAGTTCAGCAGGACCATCGAGGATGTGAGAACCAAGAGAGGAGCTGATATAGCTTCAGATCACCATTTGCTGATCGCCAAAATGAGATTGAAGCTAAAGAAGCACTGGACAACGGGGCAGACAACATCACACAAGTTTAATACAGCCTTTCTTCGGGATACCGTAAAACTCAACGAATTCAAGATAGCCCTCACCAATAGGTTCCAGGCCTTTCAGGATCTACTCAATGGAGAGGAAGCAACATTGGAGAACAATTGGAAAGGGATTAAGGAGGCAATCACTTCAACATGTCAGGAGGTCCTTGGTCGCAAGAAGCACCATCACAAGGAATGGATCTCTGTTGATACTCTCGCAAAAATTGAAGAAAGGAGGAACAAGAAGGCATCAGTGAATGTCAGCCGAACAAGAGCAGAGAAAGTTAAGGCGCAAGCCGAGTATACAGAAGCAAACAGGGAAGTGAAGAAGAGCATCAGAGCTGACAAACGAAGATATGTGGAAGATCTAGCAATGACGGCGGAAAAGGCTGCAACAGAAGGAAACTTGAGACAATTGTACGAAACAACAAAGAAGCTCGCTGGAAACTATCGTAAACCAGAACGACCAGTGAAAAGCAAGGAAGGGAAAATAATCAGCAACACTGACGAACAGCGAAATAGGTGGGTAGAGCACTTTCAGGAACTTCTGAATCGACCAGCTCCACTGAACACACCAAACATCGAAGCAGCATCCAAGGACCTCCCAATTAATATTGGCGCACCTACGATTGAGGAGATCAGTATAGCAATCAGACAAATCAAGAGCGGCAAAGCAGCAGGACCAGACAACATTCCAGCAGAGGCAATGAAAGCAGATGTGGAAGCAACTGCGAAAATATTTCACATTCTCTTTAAGAAGATTTGGGATGAGGAACAAGTACCATCAGATTGGAAAGAAGGATACCTGATCAAAATACCAAAGAAAGGCGATCTCAGCAAGTGTGAGAACTACACAGGCATCACTCTTCTTTCAATACCAGGCAAAGTCTTCAACAGGGTATTGTTAAACAGAATGAAGGACTTCGTAGACGCCCAACTTCGAGATCAACAGGCCGGATTTCGTAAGGATCGATCATGTACTGACCAAATTGCTACATTACGGATCATTGTGGAACAATCAATTGAATGGAACTCACCTTTCTACATCAACTTCATCGACTACGAGAAAGCATTCGATAGCGTGGATAGGAAAACACTGTGGAGGCTTCTTCGACACTACGGTGTGCCTGAGAAAATAGTCAACATCATACGGAACTCTTATGATGGATTCAACTGCAAAATCGTGCACGGAGGTCAGCTGACAGACTCTTTTGAGGTGAAGACCGGTGTGAGGCAAGGTTGCTTACTCTCACCCTTTCTCTTTCTCCTGGTCATCGACTGGATTATGAAGACGTCAACATCTGGAGGGAAGCACGGTATCAACTGGACAGTTAGGACGCAGCTGGACGATCTGGACTTCGCAGATGACCTGGCTCTTCTATCGCACACTCAACAACAAATGCAAGAGAAGACGACCAGTGTAGCAGCAGCCTCTGCAGCAGTAGGTCTCAACATACATAAAGGAAAAAGCAAAATTCTCCGATGCAACACAACATGCACCAACCGAATCACGCTTGATGGAGATACCTTGGAGGATGTTAACACCTTTACATATCTTGGCAGCATCATCGACGAGAAAGGTGGATCGGACGCAGATGTGAGGACGCGGATTGGCAAAGCGAGGGCTGCATTTCTACAGTTGAAAAATATCTGGAACTCCAAACAACTTTCAAACAAAATCAAAATCAGGATTTTCAATACAAATGTCAAGACAGTTCTACTGTATGGAGCGGAGACATGGAGAACTACCAAAGCCATCATTCAGAAGATACAAGTGTTTATTAACAGCTGTCTACGCAAAATACTTCGTATTCGTTGGCCAGACACCATCAGCAACAACGAACTGTGGGAGAGAACAAGTCAGATTCCAGTGGAGGAGGAAATCAGGAAGAAGCGGTGGAAGTGGATAGGACATACACTACGAAAAGCACCCAACTGCGTCACTAGACAAGCCCTCACATGGAACCCTCAAGGCAAAAGGAAAAGAGGAAGGCCAAAGAATACATTACGCCGAGAAATAGAGAAAGATATGAGAGGAATGAACAAACAGTGGACAGAACTGGAGAGGGAAGCCCAGGACAGAGTTGGTTGGAGAAAACTGGTGGGCGGCCTATGCTCCATTGGGGGTAACAGGCGAAAGTAAGTAAGTAAGTAAGTTCTAATCAAACAGTCGCGTTTTCTTCGTGAATGTGCGGTCACTACAATCCTTTGAAAGTTATTCTTATGTCCTGTTTCTAATGAATGTATCACTAATGCCGACTTATGCTCAAGTTTCTCAAAGTCAACCGAGGCTTGAGGAAGATGTTTTAAGATTTTTTGGTGATCGTTCAGTCTCACACTCCGTTGTTTGCATGTTTTTCGACGAGCGGTGATGCCTGGTGTAGGGGGTAGGCTGAAAAAAACTAGGGGTAGCCAAACAAAAACATGACACAAATACATGAATTTACTCACAAGTGAACTGAGTAGTGTTAGTCGGTGTAGACTACCTGATTGCACTCTGCAAGATTATCGTAACCGATAGTTAAACACTGAATAATATGGCCCAAAATCGTTTGCAATAGTGTAGGTGCATTTAATTCTTTGTCTCCTCCCAAATTCTAGTCTTTTGAATTCCTCCTCTTAAATTTATTTCACTAGGATATATATCTGGAATCGTATTTTCCATTCATAATCTTTTCCATTATCGTTAATACTACTACAACCTCCACTACTGTGACATTTGGCTTAAAAATTCGTTCTCTTTGTGTTAATGTGGTATGGGAACTTGAAATGATGTATGTACTTATGAAGTCCTCGTTGTAGATGACTGACTAACTCACACCTAACATGTCTTTTGGGCAGTTGTTTGCATTAAGTGTAGACAAGATTAAATTCAACCCAGTCTGCTGACCTTCTCTTCATCGGTAACGAAAATACTATTTCTGCCAAGATTTTAATATAGAATTGATCATTAAGAGCTACACATTCATCGATAATTTTGATTTTACATAATTGAAATCATCAATTAATCATTCTTAGACTACCATTAGAAATCTGAAAGCACTGGACGGCCGTTTAGTCCTGGTATGGGATTCATCAGTAGTGCGCATCCTGCCCCTCACAGGATTCGAACCCGGGACCTTCGATCTTGCGCACGAACTCCTAACCATCGAACCACTGACCAGGCACCCAACGACATTAATGTCTAATTCTGATTATTGATCTAGGAATTTTGTGTGACCTCACTCATTTGTCTTTGGTAGTTACTGTCTACACCCGACAGAGGTGAACTCCACTGGTTACGTCTCCTCACTAGAACTTCGAGAATTTCTTCACGAAACTAGTCATTAGTAAGCACAATTAATGATTTTTCAATTAGAATTATGAAGATTATTGTTTCTGATTATTATTACCCGGTAGAAGTTCCCACAACATTTCCAAACTAAACATTAAAATTATTCAAAGTTCGCTCACTGGTATAACATGCAATATACTATTAACAAATTAATTATGAGATGTTTATTCATGTTTATTGATGAATCATTTTTATTTTATTTTTAACTAAACAGAAGATCCATACATTCCAAGTTATATGGATCCAGCCAATGGTCCTGAACCATGTGTTGTATGCGGTGACAATGCAACTGGATTTCATTATCGTGCTATGACATGTGAAGGATGTAAAGGATTTTTTCGACGTTCAGTGCAGAAGAAATTAGTTTACACTTGTAAATACAATGGACGTTGTTCTGTGTCTGATAAACAAAATCGAAACAGTTGTCAAAAGTGTCGTTTTGATCGATGTATCAAAGGTGGTATGGCAAAAGATTGTAAGTTGAACATCGTGTGTTTTGTTTAAATAAAAATAATGATTTTGTACTCTTTTGTTGAATCAATTATTATTTTAATTGTGTGATTGAGATCAGTGAATGTAATTATGTTAAATCACTAATGAAATGTCATGAAATTCCAATTAAAGACTTATACTACTTTACATTCGACAAGTAATCATATTGCCTTTGTAAACTGACAACACTGATAAAAGCTTTTGATCAACCTGAACTTATGTACGTACTGAGTGACTGAGTTGATGGTGTTAAAAAAATATAAAACTTACTGAATAAGTACATACTTCAGTCACTAATTTTGATGTAACTTAAAACCAGGCATCTTTATACATTGATTCAAGATGCCATATACCATTCAGTCAGTTAGATGCAACGTAGAACTTCGTAATTAAGTACATCAGTTCATGTTGCCATACCACATTAGCACAGAGATGTAATTGTCAATTCAAATCCAATAGTAGTAGAGATAGTAAAGGTATTAGTAGTAATCGGAGAGGTTAGGATTAGAAGATATTATTCAAGAAATATGATTCAGTGAGATAAGTTTAGAAAGACAAAACTAGAGGTATTGAAGAATCCAGAAGATTAAGATTTGAGAGAACACAAAGAATAAACGCAGCAGCACCACTGCAAACGGTTTTGAGCCATGTCATTCAGGGTCTCTAACCATCAATATTATCATCTCGAGGACCCCCATATACTATTAGTACAGTAACATGCAATTATTAGGTCAAATCCCAGAGTTTTGATAATCCTGTGGACTCCGACGAAACAATATGCACATACATACATATTTCAATTCGCAGGAAAATATCTTCACTGACTGATATCATGTCTCCATTAGCCTTCTTCCAACCTATTGCTACGTTGTACTTCATCACATGCTGAGGTAGTCGGTAGATGGGTATATACAGTGCATATCCCAACCGCGTCGGTTAACATAGACTCAATACCTCTTCTTCAAGTGAATCGTCATCACTACGTTGTACTCCACATCTAGCATCTAAATTCGTAACCTGATCATCTCAAAACCTACAAGGAACTCTTTTAAGGCAACTACGATTGAATTTTAACAACCCGTTCTTATCCTCTATTTTTAAAGACTGTTTTACAGCCACAAAGAAGATTAAAGCAAACTGCTAAGCATTAGAGTTGTCATTTAGTTAGTAGACACATATCTCGCCTATGTCACTAGTTATATAGTCTGGTGAAAGCTAACCGGAAGTCCTAAATGTGTGCTAGACACAAATCCATCAAGGCTGATAAAACTACCAAGCCAAATGAAGTGGTCGATGAATTTAACTACTTCACTCCATATCACTAGTGAAAGCGTTGATGCAAACCAATCCCTGAAGTAACTTTTTGCACTTAGCTAGTTTATATCACATATAGATTCAAGTTTCCCCAAAAATAAATTCATTTGAAAATGAAATACTCACTCATAGATATACTTCTTAATTCTTTTTTTTTTATTTTTCAAGTGGTTTTGGATGAAGAAAAACGTTTAGCTAAACGTCGTCTAATTGAAGCAAATCGTGCACGTAAACGTGCCGAGTCCGACAATGCATTACAACAAAATCAGCTCAATTCTGGTCCAAGTCCACCGAAACAAGCAAGTTATCATCTACCTCCAACAACACCATGCTCATTGCCCACAGTCGCTTCACCACTTCATTCTTCACCGTTAATATCATCACAACAACAAAATGTACTTCCAGCCCAGATGAGACATTCACAATCACAACAAATGAAATCACCAATGATCACAACTAATCAACCACATTCTGTATTACATAATTATTCATCTATTACACCTCAAACAGGTGTAATGAATTTCACTAATTTATCACCTACTGATGTCAATTCCACTCAGTTACAACATATAAGTACAAATCTTAGTCCAACAACACCATCTTCTACTACTAATCCTGATCAACACAATTCAGTACCATCAATTCAACCAACATTATATGATCCAAATTGTGCTATGCTTCCATTATTGCAAACTTCACCGACAAGAAATAATCTTATCTATTCTGATGGAAATTCACCAATTAACCAACATAATCATTTCACAAATACTAGCCATCTTCATCAACATCATCATCCTCAACAACCGCGTCATAATCACCATCAACACCTACACCAGCATCATCAGCATCCTCATCTTCATCAACCACAGAAACTTCATCAGTTGGAGTGGTTGGGACATGTGTTGCGTATGCCCAACCACCGACTGCCTCGTCGAGCCTTGTTTTGTAGTGTAAGAATAGGTTGGAAGAAAGCTAGGGGCGGCCAGACCAAAACATGACAGAAATCCATGAAGTCATTGACGAGTGGACTTAGCCATGTCGGTAATTGTCGACTACCTGGTTGGGGTCCGCGAGATGATAGTAATCGATGGTTAGAGACCTTGAGTGACATGGCTCAAAATCGTTCGCAATGGCGCCGGTGCATTTATTCTTTGTGTTCTCTCAAATCCTGATCTTCTGGATTCTTCAACCCCTCTAGTTTCGACTTTCGAAACTTTTCTCCCTGAATGATACTTCTTGAATAATATCTTCTAATCCTAACCTCTCCGATTACTTCTAATACCCTTACTACCTCTTCTACTATTATGGGATTTGAATTGACGATTACTTCTCTGTGCTGATGTGGTATGGCAACATGAACTGATGTACTTATGTACAAAGTTCTACGTTGCATCTGACTGACTGACTGACCAGTTCTCGGTGTAATGTGTGCTTCGGTATTCCTCTTTTGTTTTGGTTTTAAGGATTCTGTTACGCCGGCACGTAAACACGTCATTTTGATATGGTTGAACTATTACGAGTTTACCTAATCGGAAACACGAGAGCGAGAATTAAGGATCCCGCGACACGACATGCTACACCCCCTATAGTACCTGTATTCTACAAGCATTCAGAAAGTACGAGGTCCGAGTCCAGGAGAGGATCAGGATCTCGGACTAGGGATCCGTGACCGGGTCCTGGTCATAGAATATTACAGTTAATGCGTATTTTTACATTTAGGTTGAATAGAAAACAGCATCCAAATCTGTGACATTGACAGTTAAGACGACCAATAAGAAACAACATTGGAGCACGTGACATTGATATCTAGGACTATCATTAAATTGACCAGTGGGAATTAACCAATAGGAATTGATCTATAATTCTCTTAGGATATTGGATGAATATCCTAACAGATTCCAAGTGAGGGCTCACCTTATTATGCAGTTGGATGCTTTCCTCAATGCAAGTCCTACACCGCTTTTTCCTAATATCTTCCTCAACTGGAATCCGGTTTGTTCTCCACCACATTTGGTTGTTGCTGATAATATCTGGTCAATGGATGAAGAGTATCTTGTGAAGGCAACTGTTAATTAACATCTGTATCTTGTGAATGATAACTTTCGTCGGATTCCTAATATCAGTTTCCTTAATGAGTCTGAACAGTAGTCTGCCGTTGCCTTTTCCATCTTCCTTGCTTTCGCTACCCACCACAGTTCGTGATTATTGCGTAGGCTTTTTATCAGCCTGTGCCTGTGCGCTCCTCATCGAACTCGGAGCCAGGTGGGATGAGTTTTAGAACATCCATCAGTTCGGTGGATGTTATTGAAATCCACGGCTTCATCCTAGCCATATATTTTACCTTACTAGAAAATATCACTGCTGTTTCCACAGCCTTTTCGATATAAATATATTTTTTTAGATTACGCCTGATACCCTTATTTGGAGAATAGACCGCTTGCTAGAATTCTCCAGCACACTCTGTCTTCAAATCTACTCACCAGTTATACGCAATTGCTATTCATTCTTTTCATATGTACCTCTAATTCTCGACCCAATGTGTTCTTTGATCTTCATCTTTTCCGTTGACAGTGAGAAATCCAAGTTAGGTTTTTCCTCGTGACATAGTTGAGTGCTTTCCTCAACATGAGTACTACTACCCACCTCCAGCGTTGTTCCGTAATTTATTCCTCATCCACAATCTGATTTATTCTCTCGTACAGTAGGTGTGTTTTTTTTGATGCTGTGTTTAATAGTGATATATTTATTGTATATATATATATATATATATTTAACTAACCCATTCATATTCTTTCTCTATATTTTTACTTCTCTTCATAGTAAATGGTATCGTTCTATTGCTTATATTGTATATTTAAGTATATTAGTTGATCTACAACAATTATGGCGTCGTTTACATGCTAAATTCCTTTCAAAATCGAAGAAATCTAACAATGTTAACAATAAAGACAATTAAACGAATTATTCATTGATAGGCTGGCTGACTGGTTCATGTGATTGACCAAGATTGGGCCTTAATTTATTGGTTGAAAATTGGATTTGATTGTCAACTGGGGGAGAAATACATGTTTTTGTTTTATGAAATAAGTTGTGTATATACTTGATTCAGCCTAAGTAATAAAATCTTCATACATATATTTGGTTTTCTCACTCAAGTACCTGGTTTGGGCACATACATCGGAAGTGTATATCACTGGCAGCGGACTCGAACAAACACAGAGTAAATCAGGTTCCATAATCCGATCTGAGGTGGTGGTTTGACGCTAAACTTTATATTGGTGCAGTGAAATCCCATCAAAGATTCCTAATGATAATAAAGCTGATTTTATTGGAAACCAATTGAAATGTTTTGGGTCACTTATTTCTCAACTATGCAAATATTCTAATAACCTTCAAGTTTAGATTTATTTGTATTGAATATATATGAAAACTAACTTTGTGCACTAACACGGTTTTGTAAAAAGCTTGCGACTTGTTGCAATGCCTAGTATAAGAAAACTCACAAGGGAATACTGCAATTTTTCAGCGTGAGGGTTAAGTTTCATTAAAGTTATGAACTGGATATATGTTAGGCCACTACTAAAAACTTTGGGGCACTGCAAGGTCGTTTCGTCATAGTACATGATTCCTCGATAGTATAAGTCCAGAATCTTGCACACGGGACTAATACCCAGGAACTTCGGTCTCGCGCGCGGACATTCAACCTCCAGACTATTGAAACGGCACCCAACGGTATTAGTATGTAGCTTCAGTCAATCCACTTTACAATATTCACAACCCTTATACTAAGGATTATCATTTGCTAATCAATGACTGGCTCCGAGAGGGAATTTTCAAAGTTCTAGTGATAAATGGTGACTAGTGGAGTTCAACCTTGTCGGATGTGAGGCAATTACCCGCTAAAGACAATGTTTGGCGGTCGCATACTATCGTGGATTGCTTGAAGTTAAACATTAACACCGTTAAAAGCCCGCTCACTGGTCAAGAAGTTAGGCATTCATGTGCGACACTGAAAGTCATGGATTTAATTCTTGCTTGTGTGATAGCACTGCTGAGGAATCTCATACTAGGACCAAATCGCCGTCCAGTTCTTTTAGATTTTCAATTGTAATCTGACATTGGTCAGTTCTTCATTTCAATGAGACTGCATTCCCGGTATATTTCTCTTTTGTTTTTAAACAAATGGACGCTGATTAAACTGTAAATCTATCCCTTCGTCATGTAACCGTAGAAGCAGTTGTTCTAGCTGATTCAGTAGACAACCTTCATGATTGATGAAGAGTAGCAGATATTGATTATTGGAAAAAAATACAAAATATTTTCAACTTGATAAAATATGAATTTTGTGTTAAAGAGAAGTTTTTATTTGTATCACGTAACACTAGTGATGAGCATTTCTAATTGTCACGAAATTTACAACAGTCAACAAAACGATTTTTATTTATGTGTATAATGATTTCAGACAGACAAATTTAGAGAACTTATGGTGAAATATCGTTCATATGTAGTGCCTCCACACATATTCCAGTTCGCTTACATCTAATTTGTTTAAGCCCATTCGATTAATTTATTTAACCAAGCCATTTGTATTGCAACAATTTATATGTACCATTCGTTCTTATATTGTTGTCTGGTATGTATGAGCTCACATGACGTGTCTCACTTGTCATTTGACCTTGTCGACTATTCGTCGCTTTCATTCATGTGTGTACATGCCTATCTCGTTGATCACATGTCTGTCTTATATTTGTCTGACTATAAATTCTTAGTCATGCCCTGTCTCTTAGAGTTGGCTCAACAGCCTTCTCCAATTCAAGTCACTTCAGTCGTTTTATTCGTTGCTTCTCCGCTTCGCTTTGTGGTGTGTCCCAAATAAACGTATTCGAAACTTTGTGTTCACTTTTTGATTTATAAACCGTCGGACGTTATTGAGTAACGATTGTCTGGATGAGCTAATAACGAAGATTAGCAACACGTCGAAATTGACACACTACACATTATGTATGAAGTGATATTGTAAATATTATTTTAATTTGTAGATAGTATTCGTCATAGAAAAAGTTTCAGTTAAGGTACTAATGAGGTTTGGTAAGCTATTTCGTACTAGTTTACAATTTTGTGTCAGTGTTCATCTACTATCCGGTTAGTAATTCAGTGGTTAGGCATCTACCACATGAACTGGAAGTTTTGTGTTCATTCCAACATGGTATTATGAACGTGAGCTGTTGGGGCATTCTGAATTACATGATCTGTAGTGATACTTCAGACGAGGTCAATCAGTGTTCAGTGTTATTAAAGTTTTGGTACCCTGTATAGAATTCCCGGATGGTCCATAAAAGCCTATCCCTACTTCTCATAATTATATCAAGAAAAAGTTTAACCATAGTCGGAATGGAATAACTTTGTATTACGGGGTTGTGAAGATTGTTAAGTTTTATTGAAACCATGAATCGATCAATGTTAGACCACCATTAGAAACCTTGAACCATTGGACGGCCGTTTCGTCCTGTCATGAGACTCCTCAGCAATGCGCATCCACGACTCCTGCACCATGAGGTTGCGCAACTCCGTGAATTGATCAAGTTAGACATTAACACCGCTAGATACCGGCTCAGTGGTCCGATGGTTAGGCGTTCGTCTACAATACCGAAGGTCCTAGGTTCGAATCCTGCGGGGTGCAGGAGTCGTGGATACGCACTGCTGAGGGGTCCCATAACAGGACGAAACGGCCTTCCAGTGTTTCAAGGTTTCTAATGGTGGTCTAACATTGATCGATTCATGGTTCCAATAAAGAATAACTTTGTGATTTACTGTTATTCTGGCGGACAGAATGTTTCGTTACTATGTTCATTTGAATACTTGATTAAAACGTATCTGCCTGCACGTATATTTTTTCAGTAGTATGTCTCAACTAGTTATCAGATTGGAATTTAGATTTTAAATCAATATACCTATTTCCTTTCATCATCTTTTAACATTTGGAGCAATTAGCCGGACAGAATGTTGATAATTAACATTATTTTCACAACATCTAGTACCTTGGTATCGATGTTTAATATGATTCTGAATTTGTTTGAAAATGATAAAGATTTCAGAAAATCTATCTATAATTATCTTCAACTTTTGCCTAATATAATACAATCAACTGTTAGCAAAAATACACACTAATTTAAGGCGCTATTTTAAACGGACAAGATTAATTAAACGAGTAGCTTGAAAAATGTGTGTTCATTATTCACAAAATGCTAAAAGTGAAACAACTCCCTTTTAATGACCAATAGATTTTGATGGCCTGATACCCCTAGGAGAACCATGTTTGTGAAACAGAGGCAACGACAATAATCCTAAGAGGAGTTTGGTTAGGTGAATTTATCTCATATATACACGTAAGCAGACGGATAACAACGAGGAAGTGAATACGAATGGGTCGATTCTATTTGATGAGAGCATGACTAATTGACAAGAATAAGTTGGTTATGTGATAGTAAGCAGTGCAAATGCACACAACGTCAAAGTATGTGTATGATTAGTTTGTTCAAAGGTTTGGGCTCAAAAGATTAGTATACTACTCTACACTAGAAGATCAATTTTATTTGTAAGTGAACAACACTATCATGTAGACATATTTTGCTTCAGATCAATTATATAATTTGACTTGATATTATGGCATGATTAATTGACTTCCTGTTGTAAATAGTTATGTAGACAAAGTATCTGTGATGTGAAGAAACTTGCTAACATCATAATGATGAATAGGCACGTTCGATTATTCCGGAAAAAGTCATCAACTCATTTTCAGTCTTATGATACATTTACTGTTTCTCGAAGATTTAGTTATACCTAACGATCCATCTGTAAGCTTATTTGTTTCATAGTGATACTTTGACAACAAAGTTGTTAGTACTGTTGGTAACAATTAGGACAAACTATAGTTTCACTACTTCCTACTGACCATTATGGATCATTCAACATACTTACCTACGTCTGTTACCCTTAATGGAGCACAGACTGCCAACCAGCGTTCTCCAACCTACACTATCCTGGTCCTCCTTTTCGAGTTGTGTCAAATCGTTGTTCATTCTTTTCATACCTATCTCCACCTCTCGTCGTAATTTGTCTTTTGGCCTTCTTCTCCTCCTTTGGCCTTGGAGCTTCCAAATCAGTGCACGTCTTGTGACGCAGTTGGGTGTTTCCTTTAGTGTGCATTCAATCCACCTCCACAGCTTTTTACTAATTTCTCCCTCAACTTAAATCTGGTTTGTTATCTTCAACAGTAGGTTTTTACTGCTTTGGTTAGTGCATGATGTTGTATAGGAGGATTTTGCTTTTTACTTTGTAAACCACTTTTGAAGTTACTGACGATCTGAAGTCCAGATAAAGGAGGAGGGTTAGCCATCCCATCCTGTAGAAAACTAACTTTCTACGAAAAGGTTAACAAGAAAAAACAATTTGCATTCTGACCTGGAAGTCTGAAGGTCTTCATTAAGAGGATTTATGACGTCTCTTGATGTAAGCCGAGTTTCTTCAGAGGTCATGAGGCCGACGCCGTTCTCGCAACCAGAGCAACCATTAATATAATTGGATGCAACGTTCGTACATTGTGGGAGACTGGGAGAACTATTCAAGTTTCTGAAGAGATAAATAGATACAAACTGGTGGTACTATGAGTCAGTGAAGCGCAGTGGATGCCGGTTGGAAAAAAATACTAGCTTTAGGAGGGATGCTGTTCTACTCCGGTCATAAAGAAGAAACACTGAAGTACGCAGTGAATATATTCCTACCCTAGCTGCTACCGTCGGGCTTGCCTATCGTGATCACGCAATCGAGCTTTATTGGCTGGAACATATGTTCCTGAAGGTTCATCCATTCCAGGCAGGTAGATTGGAGGACAGAGAGACTACAAGCAGCTACCCAATGTGTGAGGGCGAAGTCGTACTGCTGACTGTGATGGAGGGG